TTATGCTACTAATAAAATGCTACGAATTAATTCCCTTTTAGACATCTCTTATAAAAACACATAACCCTTACTAATAGTTAATAAAGTGTTGCTATTTTAAATTAAATTTTTAAATTTATTTATTTTAATTGAAACTATAGGAGTGATGGTTTTAGTGAAAGAGAGAAAATTTTACTTTTATCTTTTAATTAACCAAAAAAAAATGGTGAATAATTATTTGTAAAAGATATGTATTATGTTTGTTTCTATTTAAAAAATTTTCTACAATATAAATCTTTGTTGATTGGGTTCAATACAATTGTCCTCTTATGAATCATTAGGGCTAATCACAACACTCTATAGAACTCAACACATCACCCTTAGATCATAGATTAAATATCTTTTTTCTTTGATAGACTCAAATTATGGGTTAACTTTGAGGGTTATTATGGATGAATAATCAATGCTTAACGCATGTTCACAAATCTCATTTAACACATAACATATCTATTATCTCATTCACATCACGTAGGGGCATAGTCACTCGACCAATATATATATATATATATATATATATATATATATATATATATATATATATATATATATATATATATATATATATATATATATATATATATATATATATATATATTATTTTTTAATATTTATTCAATATGATTTCAAGATAAAAATTTATAGCAATGTGATAATTGAATTTACAAACAAGTTCATAAGCACATATAAAAGTATCATAAACATAGTTTTACTTGCAAATTCCATGTTACTTAAATAATGTTGAAAAACACACATTTAATTACTTTAAATCACTCTTTATGGATATACAATTGATCAATTTTAAATTAGAGGAAATTTAGACATTCTCATTCGCCCTATGTAAATGGTACAAATGAGTTTTGATCGAGTTAAATCGCTCAATACTTTAGTTTGAATAATAAAAGTTCCTAGTCCACATATTAACTCTTTCAAGATGGTTCAATGGCTAAACCATTGATGATACTCATATGGCAAATGGTAGTAACTAATTTAAACACACGAACCGTATCAAGATTTAATCTCAAAAATAGTGAGATTAATATTTATCTACGAAATTAAGGACCATTGTCTAAAGTGAGTATAAATTTAACTTGAATATAGACGATTTTTTTGAGATGACAAGTACGAAGGCAGCAAAAACCACAATCGTTTTTTCGAAAAAAATGTATTTGGCGTCCATTCTCACAACGACGATCATATGGTCATCATGCTGGGTTTGAGCTTCCTTTCTATGTAGAGAAAAACTCAAATATAATTAGCACATTTGTTTAAGTAGAGATGATCAATTTAGAGTTGAGAGAGATAGAGAAAAAATAAAAATTCAAAAGAGAGAAAAGAAGAGAGAAACTTATTCCCGTTTTTCTACAACCAGTCTTACTAAATCGACGATCCCCGATTTATTAACCATTGGGTCAATCTCAAATTTAGTGGCCACGTTCGTAACACATATATCTAACTTTTGACCGTTCTTAATTCCAAAATAACATCTGAGGTGAAAGTTATTTGCTTCGCACTGAAATCGTAGATTTGGGAAAAAAATTAGCTTTTGATTCTTATTTGTAAACTAGTTTGTTTTATGATTTGTGATTGTTAGCAATAGTTTGTGAATCACTTTAAGACTCTCTTGTACCCTTATTTGATTATAGTGGAGTTATTTCTTTGATTTGTACGACTCGTGGTTTTTACTCTCATACCGAAGGATTTTTCATGTTAAAAATACCAGAGTTCTTTTGTGCCTTTATTTGTTCGATTTGTCATCTTATATTTATTTTTGATCCTCAAGATTCCTACAAGTTTTGGGGAGTTTTATATCAGCTGCGTATTGGTCTATTATTGTGTCTTAATTTTCCATCAGAATGGCGTCAAAGCTCTTGGTTAAGGGCAATTTTACTTGTTTGAATGGTGGAGTCAAATACAAAGATAAGATGTTATTGTTGAATGATTCTAATTATCATTTATGGAAGAGCAAAATGAAAAACTTACTATTTGTGAAGAAATTGCATTTACCGGTTTTTAGTTCCGCAAAGCCGGATTCTGTGTCTGATGAAGAATGAGAGTTTGAACATTAACAGGTATGTGGTTTTATTCGACAATATGTAGAAGGTAATTTTTATAATCATATTGTTAATGAGACACATGCAAAAAAAATTTGGGGGAAGATAGAGTCCTCGTATGCCTCTAAATCAGGGAATAATAAATTGTTCTTGTTGAATAGCTTCATAAGTTTGAAGTATAAGGAGGAGACTTCTACTTCAGATCACTTGAGTGAATTTCAAGACCTCCTTAATCAGATGTCAGGAATGAGTATCAAATTTGATGATGAACTTTGAGAACTATTTCTATTGCTATCTTTACTAGAGGCTTGGGAGACATTTCGAGTTTCTATCACAAGTTCTACTCCTAGAGATGTTGTTCCTTTGAAAATGGCTTAGGGTGGTATTCTTAATGAGGAGATGAGAAGGAAGGCACAAGGTTCTTCATCTCAACCCGAGATATTTGTCACTGAAAATAAGGAAGAGGTCATAAAAGGAACCAAAGGGTGGTAGGGAGAATAGCAGAAGCAAGTCCAAGTCGTGATACAAGAATCTGGAGTGTCATTATTGTCACAAAACATGACACGTACGAAAGTATTGGTATTAATGGAAAAGAGATAACAAAGGCAAGAAGGGTGAGTCTAAACAAAGAGACGATGAAGATCGTGATGATGATAGTTTTACTACTGCTACTTGTAATGATCTTGTTATTTTCCATGATCATGAATCTGTTAGTCTTATATCAGACGAAAGCATATGGATAGTTGACAGTGGTGCTACATTGCATGTTAAACTAAGGAAGAATTTCTTCACATCTTATACTTCTGGTGATTTTTGAGCGTTGAAGATGGGTAATGATCGTGTATCTAAGGTCATTGGTGTTAGATATGTTTGATTGGAAACCAACATGGAAATCCAATTGTTGCTTAGAGGTGTCAAACATGCTCCAGATGTCCACTTTAATTTGATCTCTGTGCATATGCTAGATAATTGTGGTAATGATAACCATTTTGGTTTTGGAAAGTGGAAACTCAACAAAGGTAACTTGGTTGTGGCTAGAGGGGAAAATAATTCTAATTTTTATTGGACAAAAGCTTTGGTTACTAGGGACAATGTGAATGCTATTGATATGTAAGCATCTTTGTGGCATCGAAGACTTAGTCATATTAGTGAAAAATGGGCTGAATGTTTTGGCCAAAAAGGATGTTCTTCCTGGATTTTAAAATGTAGATTTGGAGAAGTGTTCTCATTGCATGGGTGGTAAACAGACTAGAGTGTCTCTCAAGAGACATTCTCCCTCAAGGAAGTCAAAGTCGCTTCAATTGGTACATTATGATGTTCTGTGGTCCATTAAAGTTAAAATCTTGTAGTGGTGCACTTTATTTTGTTACCTTTATTGATGATTGCTCCAGGATACTATGGGTTTATACCTTGAATACAAAAGACCAAGTTTTGGAAAACTTCAAAAAATTTCATGCTTTGGTTGAGAGGCAGAAAAATAAGAAGATAAAATGTGTTCGTTCAAACAATGGTGGAGAGTATTGTAGACCATTTGATTCCTATTACAAGCAGCATGGTATTGCACATGAAAAGACTCCTCCTAAAACTCCTAAATTGAATGGTTTAGCAGAGAGGGTGAATCAAACATTAGTTGAGAGAGTAAGGTGTATGCTCTCTGAAGCTAAGTTGCCTAATCATTATTGGGGCGAGACACTTTACACGACAATGCATGTTCTTAATCTCACTCATACTGTTGCTTTAAATAGTGAAGTTCTAGACAAATTTTGGTTTGGAAATAATGTCAAGTATGATCATTTGAGAGTCTTTGATTGTAAGGCTTTTGTGCATATTCCAAAAGATGAAAGATCCAAGTTGGATGAAAAGTCAAAATAATGTATATTCATCGGCAATGGGTAAGATGAGTTTGGTTATAAGTTGTATGATTTTGTAGGGAATAAGCTTATTTGAAGTCGTGATGTGGTGTTTATGGAAGACAAAGCTATTGAAGATATTGATAAGATAGAGAGAAGGCTATACCCAAGAAAGATATCACTTTGTCTAATGTTGATCCAGTTTGGTTACCTGGTCATAATATGGATTCTATTGGTGGTGATGATCACAATGGTAAGCCATATGATTATGATGATGATCAACAACTTGGAGATGAGGTAAATATTCCAACTAATGATGGTGAAGGAGAGAGAGATTTGTCACAGGATGATAATCTTACAGGATGATAATCTTAGTGAAACTCCAAAATCATCTCAAGTTCAACCTAGGAGGTCTAACAGGCAGAGACATCCTTCTACAAGGTATAATTCTAATGAGTATGTGACCTTGACTGATGAGGGTGAACCCGAGTGTTTTCAAGAGGTCATGGAAAGTGATGAAAATCAAAAGTGGATGAACCCGAGTGAAGAGTAATCAAAGTTAAAAATACAAGTATTGCTGGAAATATCCATTTTGTCCAAAGACAATGTAAGGTACAAATAAATGTATGTTTTAGCAGTCAGTTCAATCAATAATATAGAACATTGAATTTTATATATGATTTAATTGTTTAGTAATTAGTAAATGCTTTAATACCTTAGTGTGTTAAGCAAGAATTAGTAAATGCTTCATTGTTATTTCATAACGACAAAATAATATTTTCATTCCAGCTACAGAATAGAGAATGTAAATATCAGAAAATATTAAATCCTTTGTCATGTCCACCACACTACCTTTAAATTCAGATGTTTCTAGATGTGATTTACCGCGTGCCTCTATCTGTAGAAAGAACACTAATTAATGAGACACGGCAGAAAAGAGATAGATTTCATAAAAGTGAAAGGAAAATTATATATGGTTTGGGAGGTGGTGATCGTGTATAAAGAAATAAAGTTTGAGACTAACATTAGCATGCCTGTGAACTTACACTATTAAAAAGTCCTACTCTGGTGTTATCAGCTTTGCTTTTCTGTTGACATAGTCCAGGTATCCCTAGAAATTACCAACACATGAAATAGATCAATTTAACCAAATTAATTAGATCCACACACAGCCTAGAATGTAAAAATTATGTTTCTATAGTTCACAATAAATTTCAGTCCCTTGCAGATAAAGGAGGGTCTTCTCAATAAACTTAAGAAAAATAAGTTTTTGACAGGGTCCTGCCAACAATTTTCCATTCAATTAAAGTCTAACTCCAAACAGAGCTAAATATGCAGACAGAAAACACCGGTGTAGAATATAAAATGAATAGTCATGTAGTTGAGATTGTAGCCAAATGATTGTAGTCATGGAAGTGAGTTATTCAATAAATATACTTCAGGGCTTTTCATTGTCATATCAATTCCTCATAATGATTTCTTAAAAACTATTTTAAAAAATTACTACTTCAAGGGAAAAAATTGCGTAGACATCATATAAAGAATTCACAGCAACATTTCTCTGTATTTTCTCATAATGTACTAATGTAAACAAGTTGTTTGATATTAATAAATCAACAACTTTAAATAAAAAAAAAAAAAAAAGGAGCGGATCAAAGAACTTACTTGAAGTATTCCTACAGCAGCAAACTTGTCTAGCATAGTTTTGGAATGCACTGGATGTTTCAAGTTCAAAGGCTTTAACAATAATTCTACATTCTGCAAATACAATTTAACTTTAGATTTTGTCTAATTTTAAGACAATGAGTGTTCTCTTTAAATATACGATACTTGTTAGTTGTTCACACTATGTAAATATTTAATTATTTCTATAGTAGTAGTTACCAACCATGAAGAGGTTACAGTCACGTTGGGAATATTCAAATATCTGACTTAACATGGATTTAAATTCTTAAACTTTCAGAATAGCAATTCTATAAATCCACCTTTGACGTGAAGCACTCATTCCAGAATGTGTAGTCTACGTCTTCAAGCATTTTTGTTCTGCGGAGGTCATCAATGAAGACCTTCATTTGCACAGCCTGATAAAATGTAGAATAAGTGAACAAGTACAGAAAAAAGTAGTAATAAATGGTGCACATGAATGGTCAAAGAAATAAAACATACATCAGAAGACACCAGATTTCTGTCAAAAGGGAGGCCAATAACAAAGCCTTTCAAGGAATATTTAGAGATCTGCATGAAAACAGATGGAGTTGTCGCAGCATAGCTTGGGATTATCAGGGCTTAAATAGCAAAGAGTTGTACCAATAAATTATAAATAGTTAAATAAAAATACGTCATATAACCATGTATGTTGCACTAATTGTGAAAAAATTAGACCAAGGCTAAGGGGAAGAGATTTCTTTGATAGAAAAACAAATAATTGCCAAGCAGATAAAATGATCATCATGCAATAGAAAATATGGAAAATCAGTAAAGAGCCTTATGCACCTCAAAGATGTAGAGCTATACTAACTCAAGACTCAGATGAAAGAGGAAAGAAAACCGTCACAAGAAAAAGCCTGGACCAGGATTGATGGTATCCTAACTCCAAAAACATCCAATAATTAATAATTAATAAATGTTTACAACAAGAAAGTAAGAAAGATTTTTTCAACTCCACTAATATCCAATGGAAATGAGCAATAGTATGAAATATAACATTCCTAACACAGCAGACTAATTTGAACTGTAAATCAACATTTACTCTCAGATACCACACTAATCAATTGGAAATCTATAGTTCTCTCATAGTGCCACTACCATGACATGTCACATAAGATAAACCAGAAGAAGGCATAAGTTTAACTATTGATAAGTAGAGAGCACATAACAAATTAAAAGACTTTTTACTCAAGATTTAATTTAAATAATTATAAAGTAACGCTGGCTGTTATGATATTTTTTGACAAATACAGGCAGATATGATGTTCATTTATAATTGCATTCAAGACCAGAGACCAATTTCAAGATTCTCAACTAACACATTTTACAAAGACAACTGTAATTAGAATGCAAGAGGCATAACAGGCTCACCAGACTCTTAAAATCAGAAGCCATTAATTTAACATTTGACTTCTTCCTGACGAAAACACTGGCATTGAACATAAAAAAGTAGACGTGTTACTCAGAGAAAATATTACAACCTTCATTTTACAAGTGTTGAATTTAAAGGAGGTAGGGGTGGTAAATGGGTGTGCCTGCCCTGTTTAGGCCCGCCCCGCAAAAGCCTGCAAAGAAACAGGGCGGGGCGGGCATAGTTGAGCGTGTGGGTCCAGAACCTTGGTCCGCCCTAAAAAAACGAGGGTGGGCGAGCCTACGGGCACTGCACCTCTAAAGCCTAAAAATTTTAAAATTTTATGATAATGCCTACGCACGCCAAAAAATCGGGGCGGGGATGAGTGGGCACATTAGAGGGTGCAAGCCTAAAACCTTGGCCCGTCCACCAAAAAAAGTGTGGGAAAAACAGACATGTCAGACAAGCCGGGCCGGTGTTGCCACCTCTTTGGTGCAAGGGAGGGAGGGGAAATTATAGATACTTGTTTTAGTTAAAGGGGAGGAGAAGGGATACAATTCTCTTCTTGTTTGATTAACAAAGAGGGGAGGGAAAATGATATGAATTTAATATGATATGATACCTTTTATAATAGTGGAGATTTTAGATACCTGATTCTACTATTATAATACCAAGATTGGTGAACGGATAATTTGTTATTTACAGAATAGAATTGGGAAGTATGAGGGTCATTCAATGAAAAGGGTTTCCTTTTATTTTCAAGTGAAAGATTTTAAGAGCAAAGTTAAATTTAAAAAGGAATAATAAATGATGATCGTTGGTTGATGATACCTGAAAGGTGAAGCAATTTTGTTATCAAAGTCAGAAAGAGCAAGACCAACATATTTATCACCAACATCTAAACCCATCAACCTTCCACGTTCATTCTGTGTTGTTTTCACCAATTTATGAAACAACTGCAAGGGCTTCACATGCTTCATCTACTCAAAATTGGAAATGGCATTCGAAAATGAGATAAAAATTAAAACCCTAAGTTAGAGAATAGTTACAGTTACTCCGAACAATGTTAGGGTTTTGAATTTCGCAGTTTTCATTTCAAAACTTTAGCTAATATGGATGATGATCAAGGAAAATTCAGAGGAGAGAAAACCTGTTAGGGTAGATATCGTCGTGTGTTGTGGTAGACAGCGCCGGCGGTGAGTACGGGAGATTGTAGATTTGGAGCGGCGGTGTCAGTGATGATCGAGCCTTAACCGTCTTTGCAGTCGAAGGGGAGTGAAAACCACAGCCACGCCGTGCTACATTGAAACAATATAATTCGGAGTAAATATTAAAAAATAAAATAAGTAATAGATCTTGGTTAGTTCTTAACTATATATTTATTTGTCTCAAAATATTAATTTTTTTTTTAAATAACCAATTTTTTTAATTTAAATACAAAAATACTATATTTTTTTAAGTTATTTATCAAAATAATGAACTTTTAGACCTGGATAAAGAAAATAAGTCATTTGATTTAGAGTGTCATCATAAATTAATAATCATGCGTCATTTGATTTGGAGCATACACATATGAATAGCCAAATAAAATAATGTCTATATATACTATGGAGTCATTTCAAATTGCACACACTTATATATAGGATTTAGGAAATGTAATTAAAAAAAAAGTAGAAAACAAATAAAAATATTATTGATACACATTAAAGGTTATAACAATTGACTAAAAATTTATTATTCGGTCCGATCAAAACGTCTTCTGGTTCTACATCCCGGCGCATTAGTCTGTCTCCGAGGTCTACTACGATTTTGTTGAGGTGTTTGGTATATTTGCGTATTGGCATGCAGAAAAGGTATTTGGTGCGAGGGTTACGGCGTATTTGACATATTTTCAATCATTTGTCCCCAATAGCCGAGAGGTTGCTGCCAACGGCATTGCCGTAATTTTGTCTCGTACCCAAGTTCTCAAAGTTAGGTCGTAGTGGTTGGGTTAGATGAGGACGATATGGTTGGACAAATTGGTACATTGAATCCTTTTAGAAATGATGCAATGACTGTTGTGGGGGTAAGGATGTCAAATAGTGGTTGGGTGTTTTGGTGGTGGGATGTCTGTATGTTCATTTATAGGGTGCTGGGGTGGAATTGAATGAGTCATCGAAACTATAGGAAGATGTGGTGTCGGTGTATGGATGTTGGCGGTAAGAGTTAGACTCTTGTTATTGTGTTTGGGTGGGTGGCATGAATGGGTTGCGGGTTTGGATGTTTGATGGTTTGATGTACATGGTATGTCGATGGTGTGAGGTGGGTAATTGGGATTGGGTGGATAGATATTGTTGTTAGGTGTGGTGTGAGGTTGGTTGTTGGGCATGTGTTTGTTGTTGTGTGTATGACGACGAAGCGCGTTGGCACAGATCTATCAAATTTATCGGCTCAGAACAAATTGTTATGTTGTAACCGTCCTAAACTAAATCATATAGTGATGACTTGGTCTAGCCTCTTCCACGACATGATCGTTTAAGATGCGGGGACGTTGATTTTTCCAATGTCGACACATCTCTTTAGCAAAGTCTCTCCAATCATCGTAACTCCATTGTACATCCACTCTCAATTGATACCAGACTCTCATACACATATGAGGGACTGAAATATCTTATTGCATGTCGAACTGCAGTTTCACTCTGTCACTTTGGTCCATCTCCACTGTAGTGAATCAAATTATTGGTGTTTTTGTTGTCCAGACCGCAAGATCTTCGGGGTTAGGCTGATGGTCCAGACCCAGATACAACCTCCAGACAAACTGCATAATAAAAACACATAATGAGAAGAATTGCAGTATGTTAATTTTATAGGAAAAATTATAGTAGTTTAGAATAAATTACATCGTTCGGTCCAATGTGGTCTAAAAGATTGTGGTACATGATTATTGCATTTCTAGGACATTGATTGTAATTCATTCCCAGAACTGACCCCCTAAAACAAAATGTGAGAAAAATAATTAGTTACAAATAAACATTTTATTAAAGTATACATGTTGAAATTTTAAAATAAACTTACTTGTTTGCGTAGGGGAATGTGTGTGGATTCGGGTTGACCGGAGCGAGTGTTGGCATTCTTGACCAACCTCATGCTTGTAGTAGAAAGACGCAAGCATAAAATGTACAAGTATCTTTTTTTTGCGTTTTTACACAAGGAACTATATAGATGGACCAAAACAGATGAACCCCAACTATAAGTGCCTACTTTATGAATGTTGCGTAGCAACGACAAATACACAATATTTATCGTATTTTCAGTACTTTCAGAAAATAAAAATGTTCAAATAAAATCATAATATAACACCGAGTTTTAATTATCTTATCATACTCGGTGGATTCGTTGTTTAATATGATTCTGGAATAATATTCTCTAAGGTATTTTAAATTAATACCTTGACCCCTGGGTTGACCTGCGCCTTGTGTTGGATTTGTCTTTTCACAAAGAGGGGCATCCAACAAATCTTCGCATATTATGTTATCCAAGTTAACTTTTCCGTTAACATCCTTATCATCAATGCATAAGTCCAACAACATATACACATCTTCTAGTGTGATGGTGCATTCATCGAATGGAAGGTGAAATGTGTGGGTCTCGAGTCTCCATCATTCTAGCAAAGCAAGAGTAAATTTAGCATCAATCGAGTACGAGACTATGTTTAGTACATGACCGAAACCGCATGATGAAATATATGGTTCTATGATTGGGTCGTGTCGTATATAGTCATAGACACGACGTCGAAATCTCCTTACATCTTGACAAAAGTTATAAAGAAACTAAGTTAGCAAGAATGATGGAGAGATGAAATCACACTCTTAAAGAAACATGTCTTTAAATAAATAAATAAGGAGAGACAAAACAAATAAAAAAAACTTACAAATGCTGCAATATTGTCAATTGTTCCTCTGTGTTCATAATCCATAGTAAGGAGGGACATTTTTTAGATATAGATGTGGCTTAGAAGGAGGGTGGATTAACAGATGAAATTCTTCAGAAAATATAGCTTGATGAAAGTTGTGAGGAGAATATGTAATTGGTAAGGCCTGCATATAAAAGAAGATGGCTCTTCACGTGTTAGGCTATTTGTTTGCATGACGATTTGTACATATACACCATATAAAATGATGCATTCTTTGGATTTTGTACATACACGTCAAATGAAATGGCACCTTCTTTATGCATGTGTAAGGAATCATTTTGGAATCATGCAGAAGGAATCGTGTAAGGCAGTGTGTAAGGCATCTTGGAAAGCATGCAATTAAAAGACAAACAAGTCATATAGGATATTGTAAGACTAGGCAAGTGTGATAATAGTGTCTTGTAAAACTATGCATGTTACTAAATAGTGTAATGTTAGGCATGTGATAATAGTGTCTTGTAAGACTAGTAATACTAAATAGTGTAAGACTGGGCATGTTAATAATGTAAGACTAGTCATAGTGAAGGAATCGTGTAATGCATGTATAAAGGAGACACGACTAATGCATCCAATAAGAAGACAATAATAGGGTCTTAGTAGTCATCAATGAGACAAGACTAATGCATGTAAGAAGATATAATTGAGACAAGACTAATGCATGTATAATTGAGATAAGACTAATGCATCTATAGGCTAAACAATAATATATAAAAAATTTGATTATATGAAACTAGCATTCTATTAATACACATGAAGCTAAAATTTTATTGCACCACAATTCTATCATACGCCAAAACACTAAAATATTGCACCACAATTCTACCAAATATCAGTACACTAAAATATTTGGTATGGCTCAAACACCACAATACATGATCAATGCACATCTCAATGGTAAGATATTGGATCCTACCATAATAATCTAAGAGTCCTTGAGATACGATATTCGAGTGTCGCTTCCCATGTACTACGTTTTATCTTAAACTCGTTTTTTGAACCCTGTGTGACAGCGGATCATGTTTATAAATTATAATGCTAATTCATGCAAAAGGTTTTGAATTGAAAAAGTGTCCGTATAAATGTGGGCCAAATAGGCTAGGCCTAAAATGTTTAATTTAAATATTTTGACTAACTAATTTAAAAAAACCATAATTAAAATTATTCATTAATTTATTAGTTAATTAAAAATTACTAATTAATAAATTATCACAGTCAGCATTGCCACGTAATTAAAAATAATATTTTTATTATAATCATCATTGACACTCATGTAAAAGTGGAGGTGGATCAACAAAATTCTAAAGGCAGTAAAGTTGAGGAATCAAAAAGCCAATTTTTAAAATGGAGGACTAAAAGTTAAAAAACATCAAATGATTATAATAAAAATTGGTGACAACGTAGCTAAGAACTTTGATGTTTTTTAACTTTTAATCCTCCATTTTAAAAATTGACTTTTTGATAGCCTGTTGGTGACAACACTCTTCGCATATCATGCTATGCCGAAACAGAATTTTGTGAAATTACTTAGATATGTATAAATGTATGGTTTCCTCCTATTTTATCTTTGTCGCAAAAGATCAAAGACTACAAAATGTAAACAAAAGTTCTTAATATCATAAAGTTTGTAAGTTAATTTTAGATGAATTTGATTTTGTTTAATTGTTGTTATACAAGTATGTCGTATTGTCTTATGTAAATTAATTGATGCTAAGGTTATATAGTGACAAAGAAATTTATCTTTGTCTCCGTCTCCGATATGCCATATGCCTTCTTTTCCGGTTGAATCATTTGTCATCATCGTCGACATTGGAAATTGATCTTGCTGGAAACAAATGAGTGTGACCATCTGGGAGGAAAAATACCAATTGCTCATAAAATATTAAATCGTGAGACTAAAGAGAAATCAAAGAAAAAACCATAATTATCTCTCTTACTATTGACGCTCAACTTCTTTTTTTTTATATCTTATTTTTTCTTTCTAATGAAAGACTAATTTGTCCTTTAAGAATTATTAAAATTCCATGTTGGCTAGGGGTGGAAATATGTCAGCCCAACTAATAGGGGCCTACGGTCTAGCCTACATAGGCCCAGGCGAGACCTAAAATTTTCTTAAATAGAAAAGGTCTAGGCTTTTCTATAAGCCTATTTAGCTAAAGAGGCTAGGCCAGAGACCGTAAGAAAAACCTTTTAGGTATATCAGGCCGACCTATTTATAAAAAATTCAATAAATTTATTATTTATTATTATATTATATTTTGTACTTTGAATTAAAATACGAAAAGAAAGATTTGTTATTTTGAACAACTTATGAAAGTAAGTTGAAAAAATATTATAAACAATGTCATAAGTTGTTGTCATAAGTTATTTTTCCATAAGTCCTCTCCTACAAATAGTATCACCAAACTTATACTAATAGGTAAACTTGAACGAGACAATGAAAACAAACATTTAGTCTCAATAATCTTTTAATTTGTTAGTCTATTTAACATTAGTTGAATTTCTTATTTACAAACGTTCAAATGAAGTAGGCTTTAATTAGGCTAGTAGGCCAATCAGACCTCTGAAAAGACCAAACTTATGCCTAAAAACAAGCCTATGATAGGCTACAGACCAGACTTAGGCTTTAAATTTTTTAGCAGGGCAGACTCAGGTTTGGCAAAACCTAGCTCGGCTCAGCCTATTTCTGTTAAATATAATTCATTGTGATTTGATATGATTAGATTTGATATCATATGATTAGATTTGATATCATATGATTAATTTGATATGATATGATTAGATATCATATGATTAGATTTGATATCATATGATTAGATTTGATATCATATGATTAGATTTGATTTAGAATATTTTGGGCCTTTTATGTTTTGGGCTAGTGTAAACCTAAAACTATAAATAGGGTGCCTTGCTTTGTATTCTACATCACAACAAAACAGATTTCACAGTTGCAGTTAGCAAGTGAAAGTTCAATAAGAAATCCCACAGTTGTGGGTAACACATTCTCTCCAAATACTTCTTCTCTCATTCTTCTCTTTCTTGTTTGTTATTCTTCTTCTCTTTTGTTGTTCTTGATAGTTACTTGTTATTACCATCATTATCATATTGTGGGTTTGTTCATCAATCTTGAGATCAAGATTGAAAAGAATTCTTCATAGGGTGTGAGGTGAATTTCCAACATCTGGTATCTAGAGCTCTGGTTAAGAGATTCAAGGAAGGAAGATAGTGATGGCGATGAACTATCCAAACGACAACTTTCCGGCGACCCTGCCAATTCTCAAGAAAGACAATTATGAGAATTGGTGCAAGCAGGTTAAGGTGATCTTCTGTTATCAAGATCTTTGGGATCTTGTGAAGGACGGAGTAACATCGCTGGTGGAGAACGCAACGGAGGAGGAAAAGAATGCAAGTTAGTGGGATACACAGACTCCAGTTGGTGTAGTGATGCTGAGGATCGAAAATCCACAGCTGGATATGTGTTTATGTTAGATGGTGCACCAGTTGCTTGGAATTCGAGAAAGGAACCAGTGGTGGCATTATCATCATGCGAAGCAGAATATATAGCTGCTTCCCTTTGTGCATGTCAAGCAACTTGGATGGTGAACTTGGTCGAAGAAATCACAGGGAAGAACCATGGAGCAATTACCATGAAGATAGACAACATGTCAGCTATCAACTTGGCAAAGAATCCAATAGCTCATGGTCGAAGCAAGCATATCGAAATGAGGTTCCATTATCTCCGAGAGCGGGTAGCCGAAGGGAAGATGAAGTTGGAACACTGCAGAAATGAGAATCAGATTGCAGATATCATGACGAAGGGAGTGCATGTCGAAGCCTTCAGAAGACTAAGGGCCATGATGAATGTAGACAGTTTAGACACAATGAATTAGGTGGTGTGTTAAATATAATTTATTGTGATTTGATATGATTAGATTTGATATCATATGATTAGATTTGATATGATATTAATTTGATATGATATGATTAGATATCATATGATTAGATTTGATATCATATGATTAGATTTGATTTAGAATATTTTGGGCCTTTTATGTTTTGGGCTAGTATAAACCTAAAACTATAAATAGAGTGCCTTGCTTTGTATTCTACATCATAACAGAACAGATCTCACAGTTGCAGTTAGCAAGTGAAAGTTCAATAAGAAATCCCACAGTTGTGGGTAACACATTCTCTCCAAATACTTCTTCTCTCATTCTTCTCTTTCTTGTTTGTTATTCTTCTTCTCTTTTGTTGTTCTTGATAATTACTTGTTATTACCATCATTATCATATTGTGGGTTTGTTCATCAATCTTGAGATCAAGATTGAAGGGAATTCTTCATAGGGTGTGAGGTGAATTTCCAACAATTTCTACCCCTAATGTTGACAAATTCAGAAATTAATATGACCCGATTTAAGCTTGTAAGAGATTAAATAGATTTTTTCTTAGAATTAATATTGACTTTGAGGAATTAAAATTGACCTTCACACTAAAATCAAATGAAATAGAGAGAAATAAAGTTGAATCTATTCTATTCCATTCTATTATTCTTTTTCTCTCTTTTCAATTTAGACAAAATAACAAATTTTTTTATCCAGTTATAAAATATAAGTTTAAAATTTTTTTTATTGTCTGATAGGTTAATGTTATGTTAATGATGAGATTCCTTTTGGTCCTTTAATTTACAAAAATATTATATAGATCTATTAACTACAATGGTAAGGAAAAGAAGAACCTCGGTTAAATCTACGATGATATTTTATAACGAATTTGACACTATAATGCATTCTAAACTCAATTTTTTTTTTTGTCTTATATGGTATCAAAGATAAAGTTCATTTCAATCGAATGCTGAAATAAATGTTATCATAAAGACTCTTATGACTAAAACATTTAAGTATCTGGTGATACCGATTCTTCAAGGCATCCAGTGATACCGATCAAGGCATCCGGTGATACTAATTCTTTAAGGCATCCTTACTCCGTGTTCTTAGTCACTCTTAACCAACACCATCCTATGAAGTTGAATCAAGCCTATTGGTCAAAACATGACACGTTATTTCTTTTTATTTATTAATTACAAATTCAGTAATAAATTATTAAAAAAAAACTAACCTGATACATTTGAAAAAATGAGAGATCAATATAATATTAGTTTAAGTTAAATGATCAAAATAAATCCAAAATAAATTTAAAAACCATTTAAAAATGTTAATTCTAAAAAGTTGGTATAATAGTAAAAGTTATGATCTTGCCTCTAAAAGTGCTAAATAAACGGAATCTATCTTAATAGACATATTCTCTAGAATTAGTCGCAAATTTAGATATTAACATTAAAAGAATAAAATAAAAGCTTAAGATGCTCCACTATTTGACTAGACTAAGACATCCAAACATATTAATCTTATCTAGCATAGAGACACACCTGTCCCTTTCTTTCATACAAATTTAAGCTAACTTCAAAATTCAAAAAGCTTAGTCGTTTTTTCTCTCTCTAAAAGAACTAAATTCAATTTTTGTTTCTCTTCTCCACTCCCAAGTGAAGTTAATACTCTTTTCCTTTTCCATCATAATTACCCTCTGCACTCTTCTGTCTAAACCCTAATTTTTCAAATCCATGCTTTTCTTTTCTTAATGCGCTACACCTATCACTCTACAATTTTTCTGTTTTTTCTCTTCAACCTAACCTTCTCATTCTCCTACATTTCCCCCTAACAACACTCTCTCATGGCTTTTCAATGTTGTTTCTGTTTCACCTAAAAATACCTTCTTTTTTTACTCCTCTTAAATTCAACATTCAAATCTCATTTATATTTTTTATTTTCTGGTCAAGCTCTTAGATTTTCTAGTTGAAGAACAAAAAATAAGCTTTTTTTTTGCAAACTTGGCAAAATCTATGGTCTTTTGAATTGAATATCTATAGCTACTAGGTTTTAGATCGCCTTTCTATTTTCTCTGCATATAGTTAAAAAAATCTAGTCTTTTCATCGCTGTCTAGTTTTTTGTATATGGATTCTTAGTTGAAGAGGAAAAATTAGTGTATTAGTGTATCTATCACAATTAAGAATTTTTTTAGTGTTAGTTAATGCATGGATGAAAGAGAAGCTATGGCATTCTCTGATGGGCCTGGTTCATATTACATGCATAGAGGAGGAGGGGTTGGTGGGTCTGGTGGTAATGGAGGAGTGTTCCAACAAACACCTTCTGGGTTTAGAGCTTTGTCTAGTAATGCTCATGATGGTTCTGATGGTTCTACGTTTTCAGTGGAGCCTCAGCATGATAGTTTTAGTCATGGTGGTGTTAGCAACAGCATAGGTTCATCTCCTGGTGCTGTAGTGCCTTATTCAGGAGAGCAGTCTGTGAAAAAGAAAAGAGGGAGACCTAGGAAGTATGGTCCTGAAGTACCTGTTTCTTTGAGGCTATCCTCTCCTATCTCTGCCACTGACAATTCCATGTCTCCTTCGGAGAAACGGCCAAGAGGACGTCCACCCGGAAGTGGAAGGAAACAACAGCTAGCTGCTCTAGGTAAGTTTTTATTTTTTCGTATTATTGTTTACTCGAGATACTTGATTGTATGTGTTGTTTAAGGATTTGGAATTGGAGTTTGACCTGTTCATTTTAGAGGGAAAGTGTGATTTTACAATTTTCTGTAAATAAGAAAATGTGAAGATATGTTGCTTTTGTTACTCAATGTTTTTGTCTATAAAATTGGTCTTTGAAGTTGTTCACTTGCTAACAAGTTTACTGTATTGAAATTATCAATTTGCTAATAGATTAGTTGAACTTTCTAATTTAGTTCCTTTAAATATACTGTGACTTTTAGGGACAACGCATCCTAAGTAGGCACTTTCAAGAAACTAAAGTCTATCTTTATTCCAACATAAGTGAAAGACAAGGGAAATGATAATCGATAGAACACATGTGCGTGTGTATTATGAACTATGAGGTTGTCGAAATTTAATTTTATGTTTATTTGGTAAATAGAAAAATGGATCTAACTATTTAAATTTCTGATTTACATACCCTGTGACCGACTATATTTTCCATTTTTCTGTCATAATCTACTGAAGAAAATAGGTGGATGAATTTTGCATTATTTGTTTTCCAATTCTAGGTGCTTTATACTTCGACAATAATTTCCATTTCCTTTTACTTTTATCTGGCTGCAACTTTTTCTATTCCCTTCCCTGCCATTGTTGTGTTTTATGGCAGCTTGTGTTATTATTAAGTAATTTGGTTTCTCTTGACGAGGTTACTTATTAATAGTCATATTCTTGCTTCATAAATCTTTAAATTGATCATAATCGGATGGAATTCACCAATCTCTTAGGCAGATATGATAGTTTTGGTTTAACTGAGGCAGTTATACGTAGACAAGTGTCCATCTTCGATTTCTGATGTTTACTTTTTGAAGTCCTGGTTCAAATCTTTGGTATAGATTAAACCTTTAGAATAAATAAAAAATTAGAAACCGTGAAGAATTAAATGAATTTTCCACTCTTTCCTTCTCTTTCTGGTGCTACTTTTCTTTTTCGTGTTTTGATGGTAAATCACGTTAGCAACAAAATATCCATGTTTATCTATTTTGCTTTGAGGTGTATTAACTTCTGACCTTTTTGTTTGTTCCTCAGGTGAATGGATGAACAACTCTGCCGGCCAGGCTTTTTCACCACATGTTATCACCATTGGAGTTCAGGAGGTAATCATACTCTTCCATTTCGTACTTTGCTTTATTCATCATTAAACCTTCAGGTTGTTATTCAAAGTAACTCGAATGGGGATTTTCTTTGTTTCAGGATATTGTAGCAAAGTTACTGGCATTTTCACAACTCAGACAACGTGCTTTATGCATCATGTCGGGAACCGGGACTGTATCTTCAGTCACTCTGCGCCAGCCTGCTTCTACAAGTATCAGTGTTGCATTTGAGGTTAGAGAAATAACACCAACTACCTCCACTACTAGCCATTTTAACGTTACAAGCATCATCAATTCTATCTCTTCTTTATTGAATCCCTTCAATAGTTCTAGTTTAGTTGCGAGTTAATAATATGCATACATTGTAATTATCGATATGCACTAGTAAGCATTATATTTTCATGTTTGCAGGGGCGATTCCAAATATTATGCTTATCTGGTTCTTACTTGGTTGCTGAAGATGGTGGACCTCAAAACAGAACTGGTGGCATTAGTGTTTCCCTTTCTAGTCCGGACGGTCATGTTATCGGAGGTGGTGTTGCGAGGCTTATTGCTGCAAGCCCTGTCCAGGTATATTTCTGTATCACAATCTTATAATTGTGATTTTCATTCCTCTTGCGCACTCATTCACAATCTTAAGATGCTTTAGATTCAAACCTTTCCCTTCCAAAACAAACGAGACTCTGGTTGCTGCAGGTGGTAGTTTGCAGTTTCGTATATGGCGGCTCCAAGGCAAAGACAACAAAGCAAGGGACCGCCACAAAAGAAGGGGATGGTTCTGAGCCTCAGAGTAGTGACCAGTTAGCTTCTCCAGGAAGTGAACCATCTAATCAAAACTACACAGCTTCTGGAACAGGAACAGGCACAATTTGGCTTGGATCAAGGGCAGTAGATGTGAAAAGTGAACATCCACACACTGGTATTGACTTGATGCATGGGTGAAAGTTATTCTGTTGTTGTAAATGTACTTAATTTGTGAGCATTGTGACTCACTTGGCTTGATATTTATTATTCCTATTGGTGTGTCACAAGTTAGGACTAACCTATGTTGTTGTAACATTTGAAACAGTTTAGGGTAAGTAGCAATCTTGACTTGTGCAGAGAAAAGAAAGTTTAGGTGAAATAGAGGCTAGCTCATTGTTTATTTATCAAACTAATCTTTGGTTTCATTGAGATTTCGTTCTATCCATTAGAGCTCTCTCCCGGAATTGTCCATATTCTCTTGTTCAATCTTGAAAATTTTTTACCAAACAAAACCGTCTGGATATTTACAAGTTCAACCAAATTTCCAAACTAATCCCCCTGAGTTAACTACGTAAGCTCAATTGCTATATTATCTTATCTTAAATTACTCTAAATTTTGGCGTATACAAATTTAATTTACTATTTGAACTAATTTTGCTACAATCCATACAATTTGTTTGTTGTGGGGCTAGAACTTTTCACGCTTCATAACTCTATGAACTTTATCCTTGTTAAATTAATGTTTGGGAGACATCATGACACCACGAGGGAGATGGCAAGATATACTTACGATTTCACACAGATGACATTATGTATACAGTCAATCAAAAGAAAGGGTATCCGGTTTGTCTTCGCCATGGATTTGAGTGTATCTTATGGATTGATACTTTGTTTTGCTAGGAGGGTCGAGGAGGACTAGATCGAAAACATCGATCTATGGACGAGTATCCCCTCTTTCGAATAATTCGCCATGGATTTGAGTGTATCTTATGGATTGATACTTTGTTTTGCTAGGAGGGTCGAGGAGGACTAGATCGAAAACATCGATCTATGGACGAGTATCCCCTCTTTCGAATAATTCGCCATGGATTTGAGTGTATCTTATGGATTGATACTTTGTTTTGCTAGGAGGGTCGAGGAGGACTAGATCGAAAACATCGATCTATGGACGAGTATCCCCTCTTTCGAATAATTCGCCATGGATTTGAGTGTATCTTATGGATTGATACTTTGTTTTGCTAGGAGGGTCGAGGAGGACTAGATCGAAAACATCGATCTATGGACGAGTATCCCCTCTTTCGAATAATTCGCCATGGATTTGAGTGTATCTTATGGATTGATACTTTGTTTTGCTAGGAGGGTCGAGGAGGACTAGATCGAAAACATCGATCTATGGACGAGTATCCCCTCTTTCGAATAATTGCTTTATTTTTTTTTTTGTATTTGTATTTTGAAGACATCTTTTAGATGATCACAATAATTGATATTATGATTGTTTCTCTTGTGCAACATGTATTATGATTTTTTTTTACCCCAGAGCATGTTGAAACTGACATGGAAAATCAAATGCCTCGTATTAAGTGTTGAAACTGACATGAAAAATCAAATGTCTCGTATTAAGTGTTGAAACTCGTATTAAGTGTTAAAACTGACATGGAAAATCAAATGTCTCGTATTAAGTGTTGAAACTGACATGAAAAATCAAATGTCTCGTATTAAGTATTTGCACATACTTTAAACTAAACATACCTTAAACTAAACAAGAGAAGTGGGCATGTGTAGTTGGTGAACCTACACAGGGACGTCTAAAGTCTCTCTCTCTCTCTCTCTCTCTCTCTCTCTCTCTCTCTCTCTCTCTCTCTCTCTCTCTCTCTCTCTCTCTCTCCTCGTATTCTCCTCACACTTGCGATAATGTTAATGTTTATTTGAGGAATCTCTCATGGATGAATCTCTTTCTAAGTGTTGACCGGGGTTGACATTATTGTCTCTTATTCTCTGTCTTTCTACTGATAGCTTTCTTCGTACTGAAGCATGTCCTGACCTTGGATAATACATAATTTATGGATAATATAATTTATATCTCTTTGTGGATTGAGACAAACTTTTTTAATGAAGATATTTTCAATTCATTCTATCATCAATATTTTAAACAAGGATGACCTATTTGTTGAAACACTCAATGTAATTTTATATTATTCTATCCTTCCTTTGAACCCATAGTACATGCTCCTTGATCTAGGAGTGTCTCACATAGTACAGTCTTCTTGATCTAAGAGTTTTGGCGAGATGGTGTGCAGTGGAAAGTCTGGTGTAATTGACTCCTTGATTTAGGAGTGTCTCACATAGTACAGGCTTCTTGATCTAAGAGTTTTGATGAGAAGGTGTGTAGTGGAAAGTCTGATGTAATTGACTCACACGCTTTTGAACCGAGTCTTAACCCTCATATACTTTATAGTTAAAAGAGTGTTCACTTTCCACAACTTGTCACTCTTCACACCTTCTAGATTGTTACCTTATAGATAAATAGTGAATATTCACTTCACAATCATATCAACAAGCTTGTCTTGTTTGATATACACAACCTAAAACTCCGAAGACCTTCAAATTAGAGTAGTTTACTGATTTACCCCTCAAAACCTCCATAGGTATCTTGGTGTCTATTTTTGTGAATAGACATCTTCCGATCAGGTAAGTTGTTGTAGAAACAACCTTACCCCAAAAATGTTTTGACAACCCAAATTCCCGCAACATACGTATTATCCCTTCTAAAATGACCAATTTTTTTGCGTTTAGCTAGACCAATTTGTTGAGCTCTACGCTTCTTTATATCCTATTTTGTGCAAATATCGGTAAACTGATCTGAAGAAAACTCCAAACCATTCTCAATTCTTCTTTCACTATGATCTCAAATTTTATAACTTGTTTTTGTCATAAAAGTCTTTACTAAATAATAATACATAATAACACTTGAACCATCTAAATTATATAACCTATATATTTTAGACCCTTTAGTCATGATCAATGAAACACACAAAGTTTTCAAAACTTCACGTTCAATTCTATTACAATAACGTAGATCACCAAATTATCAACTTTCACCTAAATATCTTTATAATTTTGTAAAGATCTCCAAATTATTTGCAAATTTAGGGTTCTCTCAATCCCATGCATATTGTGAATAATAATAATAATAGATAAATTATCATAGATGGCTTTACCTTTGGAGATAAATCTATGGTGCCCTTTAATTGTAGTGTGGAGTTCCATTGACTTTGTAATGGAATGAGAAGAAGCCTCTCAAATGTGTGAAAGACTAAAGGCCATTCTATCAAAATTAGGGACCAAGAGAACAACAACAAACAAAAGAGGCAGCACAGAGAGGACTAGGAAGGGAGTGAAAGGGAGAGTCACCAATAACCTTGCAGAACAGTTTCTAGACCACTTACACATTCTTACAACAATGTATATAACTCCTACAACAATGGCAATGTTACCAATTCTGCACCAAAAACAATGCCAATGTTACCAATTCTGCACCTAATCCTTTTGTCATTAATCATCCATCAAACTACCTCATTTTCCTCAGCTGCTATTGATCCCACACAAGGGTTCACTCATGTTTCATTAGATAACTCAAACTTTGTTATTCAAAAGCCTTACAATCTTCCAGTAAACCAACGTTACAACTTCACAAATGGTGTGCACCAATTTTGGATATACCCCACAGACAAGCCTTTCATGAGTGGCAGCAATACAAAGCCACGAACCGAGATTCGTATCAGTGTAAGTGTGTATTTGGTTCTGCGGTGACAAAAATATATCTTACATAACATCATATCTTTAAGTTTTCACTTTGCACTTGCAGAAACATGAGTATACATCTGGTATATGGCAATTTGAAGGGTATGGTTATGTTCCAAGTGGCACAAGCGGCGTGTGTATTATGCAAGTGTTTGGTGGAAGATCTACCGCGACAACGACACAACTTAGGATATACGACGGTTCATTAACTTACTACAATTCGCCTCATATTCTGTCTCAGAATATCTATAACAGGTGGTTCAAGGTGAACGCGATTCACGACGTGGATGCTAACAATGTTAAGATTTATATCGATGGAGTCCTCAAGCGCGATGGAGCTGGTCTCGGAGCTGGTACTCACTACTTCAAGTTTGGGGTTTATGTACAAAATGACCATTCCAACCGCATGGAATCTCGTTGGAAGGATATCAAAGTTTTTAAAAAATGAAGTGCAATTTCGCTTTAATTTTAGTACTAAGATCGATTAAGTCACGAGAAAAGGATGAGTTGCATCGTAACCTTATATTAGTTTTACATTGTCGTCAAATGAGATTCGTGTATTTCACGATTATATAATAGGCCTATATGACAATGTTATAAATTCTTATTAGATTTCGGTGTAAAACTATTTTGAAGGTTGCTTGCATCTCAAGAAAGCTTTTCATACATGATCATGAATTTAGATTGATAAACAAAAAATTAGTAATCATAAACAAAATAACTAGTCCTTGAATTTGCTAACCCTTTGAAGCAAACTATTGATAGTAATGGCAAATGCATCTTGAAACTTTTCAAGCTCAGCATTGTGATCGCCATATACTAAACCAGGCAATAGTTCATACACAATATACCTCCTCATGTTTTCTCTCTCTCTCAAAGAAATATTTCCAAGCTTCTCCATCACATTCACATTCTTTTCTCTCACCTCTTTTTTGTCCATAAACACAGAATACCTATCATAATCCTCTGGCAAATGCCAAGGATATTGATAATAAGCTGTGAAAGGATCGAAAAGAACCGGAATACAACCCGATATAAGTGAATCGAAAACTGATTTTCTCGTTGGACTATCTCCCGGTGGCTGCAAGCAAAACTCAGAGTCCACAAAAAGTTCTATAATTGATTCTGGCTCATTACATTTAACAGAACTACAGTTCAAAAACTTGCATTTACCGTCACTTTTCGAACTGCATTGGTCGATTATTATCGACCTTATGTGGTCATCCGCATCATTCCGCGCCGCACCAGCAAAACTCACGAGATTCTTCCGATTCGATCTTATGATTTTCAGCTGCCAGTCGATTATATCATTGTCCGATTTCGGATGAAAATAAGTCGGATGAGGAATTCCAATATCGTTCAAATGCCACGGTTGGCGTTCGATCAATAACTTAATCGGATTCTGCATTTTTTCAAGCTCTAACAATCTAGTTCCCCAAGGAGAATCACTAGTCCTTCTAAAATCCCAAGAAATCTTCCCCAAAACAAAAACATGATCCTTACCTAAATTCCTTTTCCAAGTAACTTGTCTCTCAAGCCACTTTAATAACTCAAAGCCCAAACCATCTTTCACATCACTCGAAACATTCTTGAAATGCCATCTCAACACATCAAGTCCACCATAGAAAGGAACATAGAATAGCTTTGCATCATTCTCATTATAAACCCTGCAAGGATGCTTCAAAACCTTTGAATGAAAAATCAGTTCAAGTGAGTACTGATGAGTTTTATACCAACCTTTACCGAGTTTCGATATCGGTTCACCAAACCCTTCATTACTTACATATCTGCAAAAATTCTGCCATGGAACCATGTCACTGCACTGACCAACCAAATCCTTGTTAAACTTAGATGGTAAATCATACACATAGATTCCTTTACCATCCTCACAACTTGCATTCTTTTTATTATCGAACCTCCACGACCGATGCACCTTCAAGTGTTCTTCAATGATCTTAACCGCATTTGCAACCTCTTCATTATCCGGAGTACTAATCGCAAACTTCTCAACTTCAACTTTCTCAGTAGTAATAATAGAAGCAGTACTATCACTAATACTGTTATTGTTCATGGAAATACTTGGGATTTCGAAGGAGGGATTAGTATGAGTGGCTGCAGAAAGACAATAGAAGCTATTATTGAGCTTTCTTGTGGAAAAACAAACATGAATGATGTTTCCCGTTAAAACTGTGGACAATGAAGACCACATGTAAATAAGGATTAAAAGAAAGATTAAACCAGAAATTCTAGTTAAGAAACTGTATAGAATTGAAAAACCAGAACAAGATTGTTTTCTTGATGACTTTGATCTTTTTCTTGATAAAGATACTGCCATTTTTGTGATGAGAATTAGTGTTAGGAGTTAGAACTCTTTGTGGTTTTTCTAGTAGAGAAGAAAAGGAATCATTATTTTCTCACCAAATAGTTATCATGCAAGCACGAATTAAGTGTATATATATTATAGTATAGTTTATATATTGTAACGTGCTGCCATATATATGCTTAGTGATGTAATGTAGTGGTTGACGTATATGATTCAATTAATGTTCATATTTTCAATGAGACTACATTCAAATGTTGGTTTATTTTTTTCAAAGGTCAACATTGTTCTTAGCATTTTTCTGTCTTCTAAATCAACCTTGTTTATATTTTCAATCTTTAAAAGTGGAGATTATCATACAAAAATTCAGATTTTCAAGATGATTTGGGTAATATTGGTATACTAGACTTGATATGAACTTCCTAAAAACTATGCTCAATTTATGGTTTGGAGTACGTTTCCAAGCAATTTTGTTTTGTGAATCCTTGTGATACTCGCCACTTTGTTTCACATTCTAATTTGAGAATTTCTTATTCCACACTAAATGATAGAAAAGTACTTTGAAAAAATTTTAAAATGTTCTATAAATTTTAGAACTACATTTTTGGACGCAACAATTTTTTTTTCAAAATTTAGTCTGAAAATACATATTCGTATTAACTCTATATGCACTCCATGCATTATTAACTAGGATTAAATATGTTTTTGCCTCTCTTAAATATCTCAAATTTCGTCTTTAATTTCTTAATACTAAAATTGTCACTTAAACTGTCGCTAATTCAATCATTAAGTTAAAAACTGTCGCTAAAATCGTCGTTAATTCTGTCGCTAAATTGTAAAAATCGTCGTTAAGTTGCAGGAGAAACTAAAAGTATGGATTAAATTTTTTAAGAGAATCATTATTTGAAGGAAATATTTTGAGGGACTAAAAATAAAATTGAAATATTTACGAGGACTATAAACATATTTAACCCTATTAACTAAGACATTCATTTTTGACATAAATTGATCTGGAGATACTATCCGTATTTATGTCCGAATTTACACCAAACAATAAAATTTGACTTTGTTTTATAAATACTATACTTATCTTATCATGTTAAATTTTATATAATTTAAACCATAACGAAGTCAAAATACATTATATAAATGAGTGAATCCGAAATACATAATGAAGTCAAAATACATTATATGAATGAGTGAATCCGAAATACATAATGAAGTCAAAATACATTATATAAATGAATGAATCCGAAATACATAATGAAGTCAAAATAAATTACAAAAATAATAGTGCTCCTAATACAAATAATATATGTTATTGCGTATGTACGTCGGACCCAAACCCCCGGTTCTTACGGCGTTTCATGTACTACAATGTATGTCGTGCCTCCTTCACGATCGCATCTAGAATGTCCTTTACCTTAAAGTCCTTAGAAAACACTCATTTTTCTATACCGACCTATCCAATATCTAGGATACATCGTTCTCTAGGAAACACATCAACAAAATGATGTGCTCAAACTTGCTCCTCCTCCAATATCTCTTTATGAGCTGACCTAGGTGGATTCCCTAGAACATCGAGTGTCATATAAGCATGTGACATTCTGAAATACTACTAGATGTAACCGTGTGCAACACTTCAATCGTTAGGAGCCAGGGTACCATGTGTCGCATCAGGTACTAGATGATTAAGGTATACATGGCACCCACATCATCTCTGCATGTCATAACGGGAGGAGCAGACTCAGAAGGGTCTCTGGGAACAAACTGTATGTAGCCAAATTGTCGCATGACGCGTGATTGGTGCAAGGGCACAAATGCATGACAACGAGAAGTAGTAATAATAGATATCGATCCACAGGGAGATGATTTTGAGTACTAATTTTTATCCTAAAGGTGTGTAGCTAAAGTGATCGAAAAGTTGGTAATTCAGTGCAAAGTAAAGTAAAATTAACATATAATAACATTAGGACATGTGACTGTGATCATCTATCTAGACTCACCTTATTGATTATTCATATTTGAAGATGAGAATATCTAAGAAATTTATAGAAAAATATATAAATATGTTCGACACCACTTTAGTGGCATGTGTATCTATATGTGTTTCTTGGTACGACTAAACGACTTTCTCAATCGAGAGCGAGTCACTTTGTCACGGCGGGTGCCTCGCTACATGATTGTTTAGAAATCCGCGATCCTATATCGACTCATATCCTTTTGGACTACGATCGTTTCTGGTTTGCCTTTGCTTTTGCAACCGACACGAATATTTATAAGAACTTAGATTCTAAAATGAAAACACCTATAATTCTCATAGATTGTTTTAGGATAAATCAATTATGAATCGTAATGAGATAGACTCTCACGATCCCTTATTCTTATAAAACTACTCACCAAAGGTGAGGTAAACAACAATTAAGCAAGTTAAAGATATATCATGCAAAGTAAACAAAATAAAGCGATTGCAAATAAATAACCTGAATAAGAGAAAACTTGATTAAAATAAAAAATCCAAAGGAAAACAACAATATTGCAGAAAAATTACAATGGATAGCCAAAAGCCTAACTGAGAGTTACAAAGCAAAGTGAAAATAAAAAAAATGATAAAGCTTCCCCCCTTTGTATCAAACTCAATTCCTTATTTATACAAAAACCAACAATAAATCACTCATAAACACCCATAATTTTGTGCATAAATATTAAGGTCCATTAATATTAAGCCTTTAATAGTTTGAGATTTCCAAAAGTCATAAAAGTGCCTAATAAACTCGGTATAAAAAAAGTTGTAGCCGTTGTTGGGTGTAACACGGGTGTTTCACCATACCGTGTCAGGCAACACGACCCATGTTAGAGGACATGGCCAGCCCCTGTTGCCCCCGATTTTCTTGTATGGGCGCATAAGCTTGGGCCAACACGGTTCGTGTCAGTCGACACGACACAACCATGTTGGCCTAAGGTATTTTGTATGGTGAGACTTCCTTTTCTCGCGATCCTTGGTCTTTTTCACTCTAATTGGGTCCATTACTCTCTTATTTCTTAAAAACATCAAAAGAACACAAAAGCGCATAATATCGAACAAAAACAATGAAAAACACAAGAAAGCGGAAAGAAAATAAGCTAAAAGTATGAAGCAATAATCACTTACCAATACACCATGCAGATGGGGAAACATCATATGTGACCATTAAACCAACCATCTAGAGTAGACGACCATGTTGTCCAATGGGCGCGTCTAACGAAGATCAACATACGCCTAGAAGTGTATATCCTCCGCTACCAAACAGTCATGATAAACTCAAAATGACTCCAACGTCTGATTCCCTCCGATCAGGACGAAGCACATGTCATATCCTTAGTGTAGGTCAGAACACATGACCACCTGAATAAGTGTGGAAAGTGCTGGAGGATCCAAGCCTGAAAATAATACATATGAATAATTTGTAATGACGTAGCACAAGTGGTATGAAAATGATACACAAACACTAAAAGATGTAAATATATTACTGTCAACAATATGCAACTGTCTACCATCTGTTTTGTCTTCCACATATAACCTTCAACAAACTTGGAGTACAAGTAGACCAAACGAGCGCCCCTCATTTTTACTCATAGATCTGCTCCAAGTCAGCAAAGTATCTCAGGTAAACAACATCCACATAAGTGACACTCATGGTTGTTAGGAGCGTGCGTTAACTCCTAAAATCGTACGATCATGCGTTTCCTCAGCCAACCACCGAGTTGGATCAGTGCAAAGATCGACGGATATGAGAGAGTGGTTGATGCATTTTAAAGCATCATGGTCTTGCAAAAAATAAATCATCATCATAAACTTTGAATATTATAACAAATGTGTTTAAAGAATGAATACACTTGAATTTTACGTCTCCGTCCCACACATGCCTGACATCATGGTCCAAATATAGTGGTAGCAACAATAATTCAGATGAGCCTTCTCTAAATTCATGGGGTGCCTCAACATATACCACTGGGGCTTCCGAAGGTAACACCCGCCTCCTACAGAAAGAAGAAAGAGTAAATGCATGAGTCCTAGAAGTTGATGCCTCCACATCAACCGAACTAGAATTGAACGGTTCTTGCGATGATCGAGTCATTTCCCTCTGAACTGATGCATGCTACACAACTCTTTAGTGCCTCAATCTATCTTGATTATTAGCCATAATGCTTATAATTAAACCACACAAGCATTATATATAGGAAACAAAATGAAATGAAGCCAAAAATTGTAGACAGAAAAATTCAAAAATGCAACGTCAATTTCTTAAAAAACGTTGAAAAAATCTGGAGATTCATCTCTCTAATGTCCTGAAACTCAAAGATGTAAAAAATGGAAGCAATGGAGCCCAATTCAATATCCAAAAAAATGCATTGGTCATTTAAACTACCTATCAAACACATTAATAATTTAAATAAAATATCCAAACTACCTAGAACATAACCTAATGCTCAATTTCTACAAATGTATATTGAAATAATAAAATTATAGAGAAATAAAAACTTACTAAATCTGAGTTTAATGTTGAGCTTTTTGATCGATTGATGAGAGAGTTTGAGAGTTGTGAGATGAGAGGGTTTGGAGTGTTTGAGAGTTTGTAGAAGTGAAGATGAAGAAAAGACTATGTCGCCTTTTTTATTAAAATAACGTCTCGAGATGCATCTCCTTGATTTTTTATTCACATAGCCCTAGGGCCTGACTAAAAATGAGCGTGAATTGGGGTGTGTCCGAAGATACATATCTGTGATTTTTTTACATAGCCTTAGGGCCGGACTAAAAACGAATGTGAATGAGACTGTGTTCGAAGATGAATATCCAAATTTTAGGGGTAGTTTTGATTTTTCACTAGGGTGAAGAAATAATTGTTAAGGTGCATTAAGAAATTCTCTCTAATTTATGTAGGTATGGAGATCCAATTTGCATCTTAGTAGTCTAGCTGAAGTGGAGCCCATTTGATTTGTTTTGGATTGAGCCAGGATCCATAAAAAATGGACTC